TGCCTGCAGTGCAGGAGACCCGGGTTCAATCCCTGTGTCAGGAAGTTCCCCTGGAGAAGGCATAGGCTACCCACTCTAGTATTCCTGGGCTTCCCTTGTGGCTCAGCTCATAAAGAATTCGCCTGCAATGCAGGAAACTTGGGTTCGATCCCTGGGTTGGGACGATCCCCTGGAGAAAGGAAAGGCTACCCACTCCAGTTTTATGGCCTGGAGAAATCCATGGGTTGTATAGTCCATGGGGTCACAAAGAGTCAGAAATGACTGAGCAGCTTTCACTTTCACCAGTATTCTTGCCTGGAGAATTCGTGAACAGAGGAGCCTGGTGGGTTACAGTCCATGTGGTCTCAAAGAGTCGGGCATGACTGAGCAACTAACACACGCACATACACATAGATATAGATAATATAGAGATAGAGATAGAGATATATACACACATACATACATATTCTTGTGCCTTCTTGGTTATTTTCAACAAAATTGACCATATTTGAATTACAGAATTAAGGCACTGCATTTTTGTCATCCCATTATTTTATCATTTTATGGAAAAATAAAGACAAAACTATGCGGCAAACTTTCCATCTGGTTAAAACTTGCCTATTCCATATCCATGTGGATATTATGAAACCAACATCCGCTAGAGGTTTGGATAATTCTATTAATACATTCTTTATTATTTCCCCTGCATTTGATTTAGTGGGCAGTGATTTTCATGGTGCTTTTCTGTTCCTTTTTAAAAATCTGAGCATCTACCCTCAGGCTCTGAGGTGAACAAATGAAGCCATAAAAGTGTTTATATTTCTTATGTAACAAGGCTATCTTTCCCTAGTCTCTCAGAAAATAAACTTTAGGGTCAACCTTGTCATTTGTTTCTATCCTTAATTATCTTAGTGTTGCCAGTCCTACAATGACAATGAAAGTCAAAGGTACTAATTATCAAAACTCTTAATATATGTCAGGAACTCTTCTAGGTGGTAGGAGTGTATTAAAACAATCGATGTTCACAACAGCCTAATAATGTAGGTATTGTCACTATCTTTGTTTCATTTATAAGGGGACTAAGGAACTGGGAAGTTAAACAGCTTATCCATGACCTTACCACATTATATTCATCCTGAAGAATCAGTTAACACTTACCTAGTACTTACTGCATCAGTTATTTCTTTTATTTCTTTTTCTTTTTTTTTTTTTTTGATATTTATTTGGTTGTGCCTGGCCTTAGTTGCGGCATACAGGCTCTTTGTAGTTGCAGCATTCAGAATCTTTAGCTGTGGCATGCGGGACCTAGTTCACTGACCTGGGATCGAACTCAGGTCCCTTGCATTGGAAGCTCAGAGTCTTAGCCACTAGACCATCAGGGAAGTCCCTGCATCAATTTTTATCATTAGCCCGTCTTTAAGGCTGTGTGTCATCTGCTTCATTTGTACAGCATCCCCTTTGGTTCCTCAATGTCTCAGTCCTATTTCCTTCTCTTCCTCCCAATACAATTAAAAGTTCATAAGCCCTTACTCAGAAAAATGGTGTCAAATGTATAAAAGAATTTGAATATTTTAGACCTAAAAAAGATTACTAATGGAGGCATATCTGTATATTATATAACAAGCCCCACTGGATATAAGCAACATCTTTCAACAAAAACAGCACAACATTAATATTTCTGCAGCAAAATATATAAAGATTCACACCAAGTGGAAGCCACAAAGATTATTAAAATCCTTACATCAGTTTAAGTCCTGTTTTACCAATAAATAAGTTATAAAAACCTTCCATTTTCACAACTTTTTGGATTTCAGAATTGAAGATTGGAAATGATGCAATTGTACCAGGTTCATCATCTCAATATCATCTTGTTATGTAAAAATCTAACCCTATTCCCACACTCACATACATAAATCTTATTCTTGCTTTAAAACACAGCTTGAATCCTGTGAAGGCACATACCCAATGAATCGCTTTCTTCTACTTAAAAGCTGACCCACATTTTTTAACATTAAATGATTTTGTATTACCCACATACTTATTTTTTTCAACTTGACTCTAAGCATATAGGGATTAGAGATCATGTCTTATTATATCACTCTGCAACAAGCTGAACTCATGCTTGAGTTCAAATTGTTGTCTAAACATTTTTGTAAGTACTCCAGGAAATTATCGCATTGACTGTGTTTAACAAGGCAAATCAAGTTTATGTGGAATATTGATAAAGCTATGAGAGTTCCTGAAATGTCTAGTTATATTTTCTTTCTTCAAAACATGTTAGAAAAACTTTCCTCTTTCTTTATTATATGCAGAGGTCTTAATTAATTTTGGTGAAATATTTTAGTATGGCAGCTATCATGTACAAAGCTTCTAGGCCGTAAAAGTGAGAAAAGGTCATAGTTTGACCATTGATAAGCAAATTAACTTTTCTGAGCCTAGACTTCCCTGTCTGTAAAAAAAAGATATTAATAATTCCTACATTCAAAATATTCTTTTTTTTTTTTTGGAAGACACTTAACTGCACAATCCTACACCCCTCCCACTTGCCCAAGAAAAGAGAAAAGGGTCTTTCTACTTGCAAACACTTATGACTTTGCTGGCATTGCTTGTTGATCTTTATAGCAACTAACTGATTTCTCACTCATCTTCCTCTTGAATTCCTCTTCCTGACTGAGTGTGCAATCATTCCTAGAGAGATAACAGACTTTCAGAGAGTGACCAGAGAGTCTCAATATTTGCAACAGGAGGAATAGAAAATGATCTGTTACCAGTGTGAATGAAGAACAGTAGGAAACCTTAATTTGTGAACATTTTGGCAAACTTCTAATGAGAAGGGAAAACTTTTAGCATTTACATTTGTAGATATAATGAACTAACCCCTGCACTGAACTATTGTGTTGATTTCTACCAATTTATTTCTAATTTATAGGCATTCTAAAATTATATCCAGGCCCTTTTTTATACTGTCTAGCATGAAAAATATTGTTAAAATTAAATGAGCAGCATTTTTCTCAGTTCTGTTCAAACCACAGATGCTAGTGTTGATTTTATTTCTAACAGTGAGATTGAAATTCCATTTTAATATGCAGAACTGCAGCCCAGGGAGCTGTAAAATACAGAGTGTTTTCATTAGATGATGGCCCTGCACCTCTAGTTAACTGGAAAGCTGATTCATCAAACAGCAACCATCAAGACAGCATTAACTAAGACCTGGAATGAAAACTTGAGATTGGGGTGAAAATTACCTGTTTTGAATCACATAATTGTGACATTGGAGAAATTCCTAGTTTGTGGCATAAAACCATTTCCAGGGATGCAGGAGTGTTTGCTCAAAATTTGCTGCAGATGGTTTAGAGACTGAACACTTTCTACATTTCAAAGGGATCTTCAATTTTATTTCAGTTGCCACTAATTTGCAGGAATGAACATTCACCCTTATTCTCTCTTCTTTGCCCTAACCCCAGGAAAGAGAAATGATCAGAACTGATTTTGCCTTTGAATTGTCTCTAAAATATTTGCATAAACAAAATAAAGCATTAGAACCTAGGCTCATTTTATGCCAGGGCAGTTCAAAGGTAAGGGATTCTAGCTAACAGTAAAAATGTCCCCCTGGACTTGAGGCAATGAATTGACATCTCTTCTGGTCATAGGCAAAAGGAGAAGGAGGCATCAAAGGATTAGATGGTTAGATAGCATCACTGACTCAGTGGACATGAATTTGAGCAAACTATGGGAGAGAGTGGAGGACCATGGCCTCACAAAGAGTTGGACATAACTTAGCAACTGAACAACAACTGGTCATATAATTGATTAGAGGAAAAAAACAATAGCTTCCCATCTCCTAATGAATTTAGGTCTGAGAAAAACCTTTTGTGTCCTCCAATCTCAAACCTTATTGGGGATGGAAGTCCAAATTTGCTCTCACATACTATAAAAAGAATCTCAAGAGCAGAGGCCAAACTAATTTATAATATATGAATTATGCCCAGTGTTATTTTAAATAGATTTTAAACTAAAATATATAAATAAAGTTTCACTGATCAATACAATTCTGCGTTCTGAAACCTCTATATGTCACATGCCTGATGTGTAACACACAGTGTCAGCCCAGGAGAAAGAAAACACTCCAATGAAGTAAGCCAAAGAAACAAGAGTCAAACTCGATAAAGCCATGTTAGACTAGGAGTTTTCAGGTCTTTCCTATTATTTTGAAGCTTCTACCTTGTGAATAATAACATGTCTCCCTTGTCCTAGACACCCAAGAGTGTGACTTCTCTCCTGGGCATAAGAATCTCTAGAATTATATATGGTAGTAAAGAGTGGACCAAGCTGACATGTCCACAGTGACCAAATTGTACTGACTATTTTAAACTGACACAGTGCTCCACTATGAAGCTGCACTAAATGATGTATTTGCTTTCTCAACATGAATGAGTTGCCTTACTGAACATATTCCAGGAAGGCCATAGAAATAGGCTTCTAATCCATACAGAATAATGCACTGGTAAATTTCTTTCAGGAAAGCCCATGATTTATCTAGACTATAATCTTTACACATCTGGATCCTTCAAACTATACCAAAGGGAAAACCTCCGCTGGTGCTATGCTAACTACTGGTGGTCCTTAACCTGCATCTTCTGAGATCAGAACCCAGTGCAGTAGGTGATCAATTCATGAATTGAGCAAAAGAAAACCTACAGGTTAGGATATAGACTCATTATAGGTGTGACACTTAGGGCTAAGTGCCATAAGGAGTACAAGAAAAGAACAGTGACACGTGAAGCATGTATGGGGGGGAGGCACCACAGCCCAGAGCAGGTTTGGTTCACATCCTGGCTAAGCCATTACCATCTGCACACACTGAAGAACAGTCTAAGATTTAACTGTTGCACCAAATTTCTAAAAAGAAGTGAAGAAAGAGCCTCGCCTGCCGGGAAAGGACATGGTGGGTGCAGCACCTGGCTAGGTGAGGGCTCTGCATCCCGGCTGGCGATGACGGCAGCGGAGCCGCAGCGGAGAAGCTGCTCCTGGCTCTTGGCCTCGCCGAGGAGCTGGGGAGGCCCCCACAGGCGCTGGGCCGCCTCCCGGCAGGGTGGGTGGCTCCTGCAGTCAGCTTTGCACAGGTCTCTGAGACCCAGGCAGGGAAGGGCCGGCCGATACACACGCAGGCACCAAGGGGGCTGCATGATGAGGTGCTAGATAGGATGAGCTCTGGAGGATGCGGCCCCCACGGTCCTGGACAGTCTCTGCATGGCGGCCCATCTGGTGCCAAACACCTGCCACCCACAGTGGGAGGTCTCAGGGGCTAGAGAGTCCGGGAGGGGTCATGTGCTGGGCCCCGCCCTTTGCCCCAGAGTTTGCCACGTGCCCTCACAGCACAATGGCTCTGTGATGCGTACACCATGGACATGTCACAAATGCCAGGCTGAGTCCTCCTCCCTCCAGTGCGTGTCTGACCCTGAGAGGAGTAAGAAGCTAGGGAGACACTCTCCCAGTTTCACATTCTATTCTCGGGTTATTTGGCGCACAATCTGTCCTATATGGGCAATTTCCTGTGTAAACTTCTTTCCACGCTCCGCCGCCGGCGCCCGCGGGGCCGGCGCTCGCTGGCTTTGCGCCCTCGGGGTGCCACCACATCTGGCCGGGGTCACCCCGCTGCCCCAGCTCCTGCTTTACAACCTGGTCGCAGGCTGCTCAACCAGGATCGAGTGCCCTCATCATCCGGCTTTTATTGCGCGCTGAAAAGGTGGTACCCAATCCAGCAGGCTGGGTACTCCCGCGTAGGTGCCCTACCCCTGGTGAACTTGAGGGAGCGGCCGAATCAGCAGCCCATCCTGTCCACTCGTAATTCCATGAAGTGTGGACCTTCAAGAACCCTCAGAATTCCTCCACTGGGGCGCAAAATTCCTCTCCTGCATTCACTCCCTGAGCTACTTCTTCAGGTAGCCAAGGCTGGGAGGCCGGTACCAACCAGTCCCCGCCCACTTCCTTGTGCAAAGGAGAGCAAGGCGATGGTCCAGGAAGAGCGCAGGGAAGGCATGACAGCGGAGGAAGGTCACACAGAGGCCGAAGGAGAGGACGACGGAAAGGTGAGTCCGGACCGCAGCGGGGCTACGACAGTGACACCGAGGCCCCCGGAGACCGGCGGGCTCCTCCCGCCCCTCCAGTGCAGTCCCGAGCCTCCAAACCTCCTTCCGGGGCACCCAGAAGACAACTTCAGTGAGAAAGCCCAGGTGTCTCGGACGAAGCCTTCCTCCCAAAGCCCCGCCATGTGCTCAGACGGCACTGCTGGAGACGGCCGGCCTCCCTCGCAGCCTGGCCCCCTGGCCGCGGTGCTCTCTGCCCCAAGTCCGTGCTGCAGCCTGCTGCCCGAGAGGCCAGTAGAAGTGGTGCTGGGTGAAGACCACCAACCCGGCTCCCCAGAGTTACTGATGTCCGGGAAGGCGCTGCAGCGTGAGCCACCTTCAGACACCCCGCAGAGAAGCTCTTCTCCCCTGGGAGCTGCCGGCAGTCGGCGCCCCTGCAAGAGAACGATGCCCCCTCCGCTTTCTCTGTCACTGCCGCCACTGCTGCCGCCGCTGCCACCGCCGCTGCCACTCCCGCTGCCGCTGCCCTGGGGTCGCAGTGACCTTCCCCCGCCCCCGAAGCTTCCAGGCATGACTCGCGCCAAAACCCGGTGCACCCGAAAACAAAACATGGACCGTCAGCGCAACAGAATCCTGAAAGATGCAAGGAAGGCCATGCGATGCCGCAGCGCCGCCCCGCCTGCCCCAGGGACCACAGGGACCACAGGCTCCATGCCTCCGGTCAGTCTGTTGCAGGTCCCTCCTACCACCACTGACTTGGCCAACCTGTCCTCCAGATTCCCCAGTCTGGCTGGCCTTCCACCTTCTATGGATCCGGTGGCAAGACACACAGCCCCCGTGGACTCTCATTCTGCTAGTCCTGCAGATTCTCTTCCTTCAGTTTCCAATCCCATTGTGGGAATTACCCTCAAGAAGGATGCAGGTACTCCGAGTTCAGTCAGAGCAACACCACCTGTTATTTCTGACCTCTCCAAACCTGTGAGCACCCCAACCCTCCCCTTCCAGCCACCCTCCTACAAAAGTGAATCCCCAACACCCATGTGTGTAGATTCTCCCCCTCCCTTACTCACCCCTCTTCCAAACCATCCCATTGCTCCCCCTGATCCAACTAAGCAGCCCATCACTTCCACTGTGGTCCCTTTTACCACCACAGTCACAGCATCTGCAAGTGTAACCTTCCAGTCTCCTCCAGATCAGGACGTCACTGACATGGACACTACCCCCCCTTCGCAGGCTGTAATTCTTCAGTCTTCCCCAGGTATTGGGGTGCAGCAGACACACACTGCAGGGAGACCAGACACCACCAGCCCATTTGTGCCGATGGTCTCTTCAATTTTTAACTATGCCTTTCACTCCCAAACCAACACTCAGCCTGCATTTGCAGCTACTGATGGGCAGCAGAGAGCCTCTGTTTTTCCCGGGCCCCCATCTGGGGGTCAGGCTGCCGCCTTTCCCGGGCCCTCATCTGGCGCTCCTGCTGCTGCCTTTCCCGGGCCCTCATCTGGGTATCAGGCTGCCGCCTTCCCCGGGCCCTCATCTGGCGCTCCTGCTGCCGCCATCCCCGGGCCCTCATCTGGCGCTCCTGCTGCCGCCTTCCCCGGGCCCTCATCTGGGTATCAGGCTGCCGCCTTCCCCGGGCCCTCATCTGGCGCTCCTGCTGCCGCCTTCCCCGGGCCCTCATCTGGGTATCAGGCTGCCACCTTCCCCGGGCCCTCATCTGGGTATCAGGCTGCCGCCTTCCCTGGGCCCTCATCTGGGTATCAGGCTGCCGCCTTCCCCGGGCCCTCATCTGGCGCTCCTGCTGCCGCCTTCCCCGGGCCCTCATCTGGGTATCAGGCTGCCGCCTTCCCCGGGCCCTCATCTGGGTATCAGGCTGCCGCCTTCCCCGGGCCCTCATCTGGGTATCAGGCTGCCGCCTTCCCCGGGCCCTCATCTGGGTATCAGGCTGCCGCCTTCCCCGGGCCCTCATCTGGGTATCAGGCTGCCGCCTTCCCCGGGCCCTCATCTGGGTATCAGGCTGCCGCCTTCCCCGGGCCCTCATCTGGCGCTCCTGCTGCCGCCTTCCCCGGGCCCTCATCTGGCGCTCCTGCTGCCGCCTTCCCCGGGCCCTCATCTGGGTATCAGGCTGCCGCCTTCCCTGGGCCCTCATCTGGGTATCAGGCTGCCGCCTTCCCCGGGCCCTCGTCTGGCGCTCCTGCTGCCGCCTTGCCCGGGCCCTCGTCTGGCGCTCCTGCTGCCGCCTTCCCCGGGCCCTCGTCTGGCGCTCCTGCTGCCGCCTTCCCCGGGCCCTCGTCTGGCGCTCCTGCTGCCGCCTTCCCCGGGCCCTCGTCTGGCGCTCCTGCTGCCGCCTTGCCCGGGCCCTCGTCTGGTGCTCCTGCTGCCGCCTTGCCCGGGCCCTCGTCTGGCGCTCCGGCTGCCGTCCTCCCCGTGCCCCCACCTGGGAATCAGGCTGCTGCCTTCCCTGGGCCCCCACCTGGGACTCCTGCTGGTGTCTCCCTTGGGCCCCCATCTATGGCCTTGGGTCCTGTCCTCCCCGGCCGCACTATGTAGGACTCCAGCCAGTGTCTCCCCCACCCCTCCATCTAGGGTTCCGTCCACTCTCTCCCCTAGCCCCCATCTACAGCTTTTGGTCCTGTCTTCCCTGGCCCCTCTCCAGGGCGTTGGCTGTTTCCCTCAGTCCCCAAATTACGGCTTTAGGTCCTGCCTCCCCCAGCCCCCCACCTATGGATGCAGCTCCTGTTTTCCCCAAACACCCATCTATGGCTCCAGCTCCTGTTTTCCCCAAACCCCCACCTATGGCTCCAGCTCCTGTTTTCCCCAGCCCCCCATCTATGGCTCCAGCTCCTGTTTTCCCCAAACCCCCACCTATGGCTTCGGCAGTTATCTATGCTTCAGCAGTCAGCATCTCTACAGATGTCAAACCAATGCTTTGACATCAAAGTCGTCCTCAGAATTGACTTTCCAGTCTACCTCTGACTCCAAAGAGAACCACTACTGAGATCACATGGCCGTTCCTGGTTCTGAGAACACAGCACCCAGTGGCAGCAATGCCTGGACCCAAGCCTCGACAGACTTACCTGTTCAGTTGATCAACAGCTTCAAGTGAAGCTTGAAACCCAGAACTCACCATTCAACCCACATCTGGGGCCAACAATAGGAAGAAGCCTAACAAGTCTATTTCACTGGGAAACCCATTAGCCCTAGCACAAGATAAAAAGCTAACCTCTTCTGCAGTCCAGCCACCCCAAGGAAGGATAATGGATTCAGGTTTACCAGATCGCCTGTCTTCCACCACCACCATCAACATGCAGGCGGCCTTTGCTAACAGCTCAGGTATTTTCCCCAGGGATGTATCTGCTACTTCTGGTTTTGGAGTGGATACTACAGTGCCCAGTACTGGAGACAGTAGCTTGCTGTCTGCTAGTACCACATCAGGCCCACTGTTGATGGGACCTGCAGCCTCTATGGCTGGTGGGAGTTTTGGGTTGGTGTGAATGCCCTAGGCCTCACTTATTCAGAAGCATCTGGCCCACCTAACTTTTGGACAGAACTGTGTGGGACACCCAGCACCACCTGTGTTCCTACTGTGGCCAGATCACCTTGGGGTCATCTCATTGCAGGGTGCCTGCTGCAGTGGCAAGGGCAAGCCACCATCCAGCATCCGGGCACATATCTGGTTCCAGCTTGAATCCAGACGCCTGGGGTCTCCTGGAGCCAAGTCCAGGTGGCAGAGTCACGGCAGGGGACACCACCATCCTTATGGTTAGAGGTCGGGGTGTTACCACTTCCCATCACCGCACCCAGGACCCACGTGAGTGTAGAAAATCCACAGTTACATATCCCATGACAATGAAGAAGAAATTTGTGTCAAGGGACAAGTCAATTTCAACTTTTCACCAGAACAACACTGCATCCATTGGATTTGTAAGTGTGAGACCCACCCTTGGCTTGAAACCCACTAGAAGTTCCACCTTATTTTCAAACACAAGGGGTCCACCTGTCCAAGATCCAAGTGGTGGTGGTATAGGAGGGAACGTCATCATTCCCAGGAATGGAGGACCTGGTATCCACACTTCCCAGCAGTACAACTGGGACCCACCTGGCCAATACACCATGGGTGAATGCCAGGAGCCGTTATGGGAGGTCCCGCCCGTGATGAGGTCATGAAGAAAATACCGGGTGGGCAAGGCCATCCGGGACCCCATCCATGACGAGGTCACGAGGAAAAATCCTCACAGCAAGGCCATCTAGGATAAGGGACCCTCCAGGTTGGCCTCGGCCTCTACCCCACCCTGTATCCTCCCCCCATTTTTCTGCTGCTGTTCTTGTTTGCCCTGCTGCAGATTCTTGTGTTGCCTGCCGAGAGCTCTCCTGCTCCTCTTTCACTGAATAAACACCAACTTAAAACCCTAATTAATAAATCTCCTGGATGCTGGTACCCTATGAAGGGGCCAGGGATGAAGGAAATGCTTCAGTTCAAACCCTTTTGCTGGCATTCTGGCTTGTTTGATAAATGTGTGCTCTTATTGCACAAAATGCTCATGATTGTTCTAAACATCCTAAGTGCAGTACGCTAACAAAAGAAACTATTAAGCATAGGCCCCTTCATGGGGTGAGAGAAGCTCCACAAACATGATAGCCACAAATGTGCCTCATAGAAAATACTTTAGGTAGGGATTAGCTGGCGACTTCTTGCAGGCAGTTAACTTTTAGACTAAGAGCCTGTTTTGTGCCATATCTGCTGTTTTTGCAGTCCTTCGCATTTCTGTTCTGTAAAAATGTAATCCTATCTAGTTCCCATAGAGATGACGCTTATTAGAAAGAAAATAGATTAATTATAAGAAAAACAGGGTCGGCTACTGAAGTTGCTTAAGTCACACCAGGTGCAAGCCATAAAATGTTAGCAGGCCTGAAGGCCAAATGATAAGAAAGACTCTTGTGAACGAAAATATGTGGGTGACATCCAGTTTCTGTTGAAGGTCAAGCTGCTGTAATGTTTTGAGATGACCTGTGTGTAAGCAATATGCACGTCCCCCAAAGATGTTAAGGGTATAGAGGAGCCGTGCAGAAAGAAACTCCAGACTCAGCCCCGAGCTCTGTCTCGCTCTCTCTCTCATTCGCCCACGCCGTTCATCCTGAGGGTTCCCCTGGGTCCTGCTGGGGCTGGGCCCCGGCAGGTGAACACATGGAAGGAGCCACATCTCATCTAGGGTGGGAGGCCCCAGTGTCCGCACTGCCACTGGGCTCGGAACTCATATCTGCAAAGCACAGAGCGGGTGATGGGGGCCAGCACCTCACCCGCTGTGACTGGGTACACTTCTGGTGTTCCGTTCATACAAAGCACCCAGGCCTCCCCAGCCCAAACCCACGTAGTACGATGGGGGATAGCACCATATATATTTAGAGAGGAACATCTGTACTCGGAACTCCTGGGACCCCAACTCAGGGCACACCTCTGACTTTGGAGGAGCACAATGTTGTGTTTAGCGGCTCCTGGTCAGGGAAGCTGCGTCTGTGCTCTGGGTCTGTTACTTTCATCACCTGCCCAGGATTTCACTGGAGCATTAGCAAACTCCTTTCTTCTGTGAAGAAACTCAGAGAATAAAGAGCATATCTTGTTTTGCAGATTCTGTGCAACGATGAATGGGCTTTGCTGGAAAACGACTCCGTCCGTTTAAGTGAAACGGTTAACCTGCTTTCTTCCTCCAGTGAGCCAAAGGACCATACTCTCAGCGGTGTGCATGAGTAGGTGTGTGTTGTATGTGCATGGGTGAGGAATGTGGGTGTGTGTGTGTTGCAGGGTGACAAGCATATGCACCCAGTTCAGAACTACATACCAGAATTGAGAAGTTCCATTTGGAAGATGGAAAATAACCTGCATGTATCATCCACTATGCCATCCCTCGTTTGACTGTAAACTCGGACAACCAAACTTCTGGCTGTGTTCCCTACACTTGGAACTGGCAAGTTCTACTGCTGTCTTTAGCTGCTTTCTCTCCCCCTACCCATTTGCCTCAATGGACCCTTATCTTTCCCAGCTTTACGTACAAATATGTATGTATGTAATTTACATATAAGTAAAAACTCATTCTTGTTAATCTACTACTGTTTAGGTGTCTTTACTCATTGATATATATGAGTCATGATGTGTTGAGGCAGACTTAAGGTTGCAAAATTTTCTGGGTCCCAGTGACTGGGTTGTGGAGCTAGGCGTACATTGTGACCATGTGTGCTGACTTCTGAAGTCTGCTTTGGGTGTAAGGAGTGACAGTCCAGGGAGCACTAAGGTCCAGAGGAGGGAGAGACGGGGCCGCTCATCCTTACTTCTCTATGTCTCTCTCCCCCTGCACCACTCTAACCACACTGGAGGCTAGATGTGTGAAGAGGAAACACACTTTATGGTTTTCATTTTTGAAAATGTTTACATGTCTCTTTTGTGCATCATTTTATCCAATTGAAACTTAGGCCAGTCATCTTTGTATGTTCCCACTTCACCCAGAGAGGATGGATTTTATATCCAGGTTCATGTGTCTGGAGAAACAAAGGAAGAGTCCATGCCTGCTCTGTAATTGTTGAAAATTTAAGTTTACTTCAAGTTTATCATGCTGCTTAAAGTATCAGAAGAGATTCTCTTCAATAACTGGCTTGACTCTGAGATAGGCTGCTAAAATACCAAACATAAGAGTTATAACTGTGTCCAGTTCTTGCAGACCCTGGAGTTCTGCTGGGCCTCCACTAGGTTCAATAAAGGCAAAACTCCTGACTCTCTGTAGCCTGTCCTCTAGTCAGAGGGGAGAACAGAAATCAATGTAAATTATCTGACAAGTTGGTGGTGTGGTTTAGTTGCTAAGTTGTGTCAGACTCTTTGCAACCCCAGGGACTGTAGCCCACCTGTAGGCTCCTCTGTCCACAGGATTTCCCAGGCAAGAATACTGGAATGGGTTGCCATTTCCTTCTCCAGGGGATCTTCCTGACCCAGATATTGGACCAGGTCTCCTGCATTGCAGGTGGATTCTTCACTGACTGAGCCGCCAGGGAAGCCTGGGAGCAAATGCAGTAGAGATCAAGCAGTGTATGGGGAACTGACCTTGTGGGCAGAGAAACAAGGCTTTCCAGTTAAACAGTAGAACAGGATAAGTCTTACTGGGAAGGTGGAATTTGAACAGTGTAGCGGGAGGCAACTGAGTCAGATATCTGAGGAAAAAGCATTCCAGATAATGGGAATAACCTCTCCAAGGCCCAGAAGAAGGACACCAGTGTCCTAAGGGAAAAGCTAGTAAATAATGTGGCTGGAATAAAGTCAGAAGGTGGGAAGGGAGAAGAGGAGAGGAAAGGAGGATGGAGAAGATGTGGATTGAATTGTGGCATCATCATTTATGGATTGTGTGATCACAAAGTTAATTCAACCTTCAAATGTTTCAGTGAAATCAGTGATCTTCCAATGGCCAATTTACCTCACACGAGTTTTGGAAGGATAAAATAACACAGGGAAATGAATTATAAGCCACTGTTATTATTCTACACATAAAAGACAGATAGACAGAGACAGATATAGAGAGTTAAGACTGAATTCTTTTGTCCCCCTCCACAGATTCATATATTGAAGCCCTATCCCCTTATGTGTGATGGAATTAGGAGATGGAGTTTTTAGGAGGTAACTAGGTTTAGAAGAGGCCATGAGGTAGAGCTGTCATGATGGGATTAGCTCTTATAAGAAACAGAAAAAACACTAAAACTTTCTCTCTCCATCATGTGAGGAGGACACAGCAAGAAGATGGCCATCTACAAGCCAAAAATGGAGGACTCACCTGGAAGTAGATCTGCCCTGATCTTAGACTTCCCAGAAGTGTGAAATGTCTCTTGTTTAAGCCACTTAGTCTATGCTATTCTGTTAGAGCAGCCTGAGCAGACTAATACAGGCAGGTGAGTAGGGAAAGGATGACTGATAGCTACATAGATGGAGATAGAGCATGCATGTATACTTAATGAATTACTTCAAATGTCGTCACCAGGCAATTCAAATAGGAGATTCCCATTTTAAAGGGAGCATAAAAGTGCTTGCTTTCGTGAAGTATACAGATGGAAAAATACTCCAGCCTAAAAATGCACAGCACTGAGCCTAATGCAACATTGCTGAGATGAGTCCTGCAAAACCAAAGAACACCATCACAGAGAGGCCGACAGCCTCCTCCCGGCACCCTGCCGCCTGATTCATTTACTCCAAGTTGTTTGTTACAGCTCCAGGGGATCAAAGCTCCTGCTCGCTGACTTCAGAGACTCTCCTTCCCTTTGTTGTCGGAATGGCCTACCAGAAGCAGGGTTGAAATACAGTTTGCTTCTAATAGTTCCACACCTTCTCTCGGCCGTGCAGGACAATATTACCAGGGACAATTTTTAATTTTTAAAATTTATAATGCTTTTCATTAAAAAAAATCCTTCAAAGCTGAAAAGAACAATTCTGATAAGGCAAGCACTTAGCAAATGTATGAGATGTAAAGATTTTGAATTTCACGTTTTAATGCATTTACACAGTTGAAGCTACTTCTAAATAAATGGAAATATTGTTATGAAAATAATATGTGGACATGATAGCATCTCAAATACAGAAATTCAACTTTTCTAACCCCAGTTGCCCTCTCCAGAGACAAGTTTTTGGCCACATGAATGCTGCCCCCATCATTCTAGACATTACGTTTATCTGCTGTATCCACTGTAGATCCATTTTAGCACCCTAGCATGAGGCAGAAAGATAAACTCCTGCCCCCACTGCGTCTCATCCCTCTTCCTTCCAATACATCATATTCATTTCATTACTTCTGCGGCCTCTCTTCTGCAATGCCATGCAATTTCTGCTGGCTTTTATTGAAGGGAGAAGTGGTAGCCTAGTGGCTGAAAGCCTTGGTTCTGGAGATGGACCACTTGGCTTGGAAGTTTTGTCCTTCAGTTTATTAGCTCTGCAATCCTGAGCAATTTATTCAACCTTCCTGGGCTTCTGTTTCCTCACCTGTATGATGAGGAAATGGATGATAACCACCATTGTGTGGAGTTGCTCGTGATGATGCAAATAATAACACATCTGCAGCCTTCAATGTCCAACACACGGAAGCTCTCAAGAAATATTAGCTATAGTACATCGCTACAGTATTCACTTTCACTCTAATCTCATCCTTTTCTTTATGCCTGAGACTGCTTGTGCCCCCAGTTCTGTCTTTCCCCTTGTACAGCTCACCTTTGGTCAATAGCATGCTTGCTTTGTTTACCTGTGATGATAATATTTACAAGTTGTTATGCAATCACAACAAAGTGTCCTGTGTTTTATTTACAGGTTGATGCTATGGGTTGAAAACCAATAAGTTAAATAAAGTTCTGCTCGGTCCTGGGGACAACAGAATG